TTTCTTGATTTTCTTGAAATTGCTTTCCCACCTTTTAGGTGGGTTTTCATTTTCCATTTTTTTTTTTTTTTTGGTAATTTGGAAAAATTCTAGACCTAATGGTAAAAAAAAAATTATAACTTTTATTGACAATTTTCATACAAAATGAAGTCAAAAGAATGGTATTCGATATGATAATTTTTTTTTAAAAAAATTTTGGCTAGTGAAACAAATTCTAGACCCAATGGTAAAAGAAATTATCACTTTAATTGACAATTTTCATAAAAAATAAAGCCAAATGTACACCAAATTTTCAACATTTTCCAGGTGGAAAATTATACCAATCAAACACAATTAATTACAATTCTCAGTAAAACAATTTCTAGGCAAATCAATTCCCTGTAAAATATTTTCTTTCCACCCATTTTCCACCCTTGCAATCAAACGCACAATGGTAAAAAAAAATTATAACTTTTATTGACAATTTTCATACAAAATGAAGTCAAAAGAATGGTATTCGATATGATAGTTTTTTTTAAAAAAAAATTTGGCTAGTGAAACAAATTCTAGACCTAATAGTAAAAGAAATTATCACTTTAATTGACAGTTTCCATAAAAAATAAAGTCAAATGTACACCAAATTTTCAACATTTTTCAGGTGGAAAATTATACCAATCAAACACAATTAATTACAATTCCCAACAAAACAATTTTTAGGCAATTCAATTCCCTAAAATTCATTTTCTTTCCACCTATTTTCCACATTTGCAATCAAATGGACCCTAAGTTCCTATTCACCTACCATTTTTCAAAAATTCTTTTTAAAAAAAATAAATTCATTTTCAATCACGCATTTCAAAAATAAACATTTTACACGTAAACTCTAAACTTTTTCTTACATTTAACTACACATTCTCCAAAAAATTACTATTTCAAAACTCATTTTCTCCGAAAAACATTTTAAATGGGCATAAAACATGGGATAAATTACATGGGATACTGTTTTATTCCTTCAAAATTCATTTTTAACATCATCTGTTGAATGAGTGAAGTTTCTTTGTCACAAAGTCGAAATCAATAAATGATGAAAATGATTTTTCATGACTTGAAAAGACAAGGAATCCAAGAAGTTATGTTACCTAATACGTATTTGTTTTACACCCAATAAGGGTGAAATATCACAAGTGAGTATCAATTTACTCATGAAATAGGAATAACTTTGACTAGTAATTCTTCTTTGACTTACTATTTTTTAATTATGTTGAAATTAAGTTCATCTTTGATTAAAATTTCATGTGTTAGTTAGAATATGTCTTACATTTTGTTTGCATTATATTTTGGATAATCAATTTGATACAAATCTTCAATGTTGTATTGGTTATACAACTCTTTCACATCATTTACAAACCTAAGTATACGACGTAAAGGATGACCGTAATGTTTGAGGAAAAAAAAAAGGAATTAGTCAAGCTACCAGCAGATACCAATGGAACGAACAATGTAAAAATATTTACGTAATCGATTCTATATTTACAAAACATAAATTAGTTTATTGTTTTCATATATCTATAATGAAAATTGAACTCAAGACAATTAATTCGAATTTTTTGCAAGTGACAAGGACTAATTCTTGAAAGTTCTATTTAAATTTATTTTATTTTTTTTTGCCTTTCAAATTTCATCTTCGATGTAAAACTTTTACTTATGTAATAAAACCATTAATTATGTTAGTACAAACACTATGATTGATTTTGGTATGTCATATTCCTTCTCATGATTCAAACCACAAGAATGCATTTACATTGGAACTCAGAAAGAGAGTGGCACCTAGCCGTTGAGGCTGCTATGCTTATGCACTTCTACTTTAAGCTCGTGAATAGCATGTTTTGTATTAATGTGATTAGACGGTGCAATTAGTAAAATTTGATTCTTCCTTTAGATATCTTACACTTGTACTCTAATTATGACAGTTTACGGGGACTTCTTTCTTCCTCTTCTTCTGCTCATTTGTAGGGTGGGTCGGGGCCTATAAATTAGTAAAATTTGAATTTTTTTTTCCTTAAATTATTACACTTGTTCACTATTTATGACGATTTACTGTGACCTCTTTCTTTTTACCTTCTTCTGCTTACTTGGGTTGGGACCCATAAAGGGGAGGGCGTTGCCTTCCGGGGCATAGTTTAGTGGCGCAAAAGACATGAGTGAGGTGGTCTCAATTGAGCTGTCAGCCGCAATATGATAGTTCTATTCCTACCTACTACAAGGTATGAAATTAAACTCTTTATGGGCACTAATATGACAATTATGTACCTTAGTTTGTTGAGGCACATCTCGTGATTTACCTCCTCTACATTGTTCTAGGGGAGGGGCAGTGGGGCCCCTCAAGGTTGGGGTTCAACCTTTTTATAAAGGGGAAGGAGTCTGATCCCCAATTCTTGCTTGTCCCGGATGATTGTGTTGGGTTTTTTTTTTATTAATATTACTCAATTCTTCCATCAATTTTAATAAACTCAATACAAGTGTTTGTATTTTTTTTTTTTGGGTTCTCTTTTTAGTTAGTAGACGTCCAATGTTGATCAAGAGCATTGTCTTGTTTAGTTCTCTTTTCCTAGACTTGAATTTGTAGGTTAAATTTACAACAACAAATAGTCATGATTATTGAGTCATAGAATCAATCTTAAAAATGTCAAAACATTTTAAAAAGAGGTAGCTTAAATCTTTATGACGCGTGATGTGAGAATTTGCTACCAACATGTGCTTGCAAGATGATAACTTATTTGAGAATACTAAATAGTTTAATCGAATCCCTTATCTAAATATTTTAAACTCAGATATTACGTAGAAATCTTGAAATTCTGAAAGTCAATTTTTTAAAATAACCAGAAATCTTACACATTAATTATTTCATATTTAGAAGACGTGAGAGCTTAACATTAGCAATCACTTCATTCTATCCATCCTCGTGTGTAGATTCCAAACATCAAATGTCACGTGACCACTTTACCCAAATAATTAAACAACTTTATTTATTAAAGTTGGTGCGATTAATGATTAAAAACCTGACTTTAAGACAACCTGGTATTATCATAAAATAAAGCCATTTCTAAAAGAAAAATCAAATAATCTATAGATGACCGACCATGTGCAAAAGTGCAGCTTGATATGCATTGCTCTTTTTTTTTTTCTACAAAGTGCATTAGCAGAATCATTGCATTTTTACAGTTTGTATATGCTAAGATTTTTACCCTTCAAAAATGCTTAATAGACCATACTGGCTCTAAATCGGTGAAATCTTTTGGTGGCCAAATTTATGCACTTCAGTCAAATTCGTTAATTTAAAAAATAAAAATATTGACGTAACAATTTATTAATGGTATTGAGCGTGAATTTATTTATGTCATGTATTAATCTACGTCAAGTTAGATAATTGATGGATCTGCTGCTCGATTGAAGATATAAAGGAAGCGTGGGTAGCCGAACTCTTTCGCGAAAGGGATTATTGAGGGGTAATTAGCAAATGACGTACTTACCTTTCACTATTATTGTGGAAAACGTTTCATCTTTTATTGTGGAAATGGTCATTTTCATTTATTTTCTCAATTAAAAGTTATCAAATGACGAATATACCCTTCCATTTAAATAAGACAAAAAGAAAAAGAAATAATTGATTGCAACCAAGTCCCATTTTTTTTTTTAAAAAAAATACGAACGAGTCTCAAATAATTATTATAAAGATAATTAGAACATAATGTACCCATCTTTCACTATTATTGTGAAAAATGTATCCACCTTTAATTTTTTTGGCATTTTCACCATTGATTGCGCAAACCATCATTTATATCTATTTTCATCCAACTTCTCAATAAATAATCATGAAATGACGAATATACCCTCATATTTAAATAAAATAAATAAAGAACTAATTGTAATTAAAGTCTCAAATTTTTTTCAAAATGTGTAAATGAGTCCCAAATAAATTATTAGAAATTTAAAAAATATAAATAAATCTCAAATAAATTATTAAAAAATTTAAAAAGTGCAAACGAGTCCCAAATGAATTATGAAAAATTAGAAATAAAAAAAATAATAAAAAAGTGTAAATGAGTCCCAAATAAATTATTAAAAAATTTAATTTTTTTTGAGTTAAAAAAAGGGAGTCCGAAATAAATTATTTAAAAAATTAGAATTTTTTCAAAAATGTAGACAAGTCCGAAATAAATTGATTAAAAAATTAGAAATTTTAAAAATAATTTTTTTTTAATTTACAATTTAAAAAGGACGGTATAACCGTCGTGTAGTGTTTCATTGAGAAATTGAAAGAAAATGACGATTTGCGCAATTAAATGTATAATTAAGGGTGAAAATGCCAAAACTGAAAAGCAATAGCATTTTTTTATAATAACAGTGAAAGATAAAGACATTATGCTCTAATCACCATTTTAATAATTTATTTAAGATCCGTGCACCTTTCTAGAAAATTTGGGGATATTAAACAAGCAAATACAAAAGCAAGAGATGAGCTTAATCTAATCTTGTACCTGCTAATTCCGGCAAATCAAACTTTCTATAGACAAGAATGTGACAGTTTTGTCATTTTATGTTATGAACAGCCAATTCATTTGAATGAACAACATCTATAAGCAAAATGACAAGTTTGAAAATATCAACATCCATGAAAAACAAGCAAATTTTCAAATTTACATAAATTGTACAGAAACCAATCCCCTGTATACAGATCTAACGGCGTGATGTAGACTGTAGTATCAAATAAGTGAAAATCCCGTTCTTCATACCGTCGAGTCTTGTCTACTATTGTGTAGCAAACATGCTTTAGACGTTTCTTCTATCCTTGCATTTACTTGATACAATCAAACACAAACTTTAAATAAAGAAAAAAAAGAACAAATATTCAAATATTTGACTCCCCAACACATTATAATTTATAATTCAAAACCAAAGAATATATATATGAATTGAACAAAAGGAATCCTTCCCATTTCACTGCATCATATTCAAGAATTTCAATCAGAGGACTTAATCTTGGACCTGTAGATGAACTTCTTCTTCTTTGAACTTTGGTTATCCAGTGTGAGCACAATCTTACCAGGTTCACCAGATTTGAAGCAGCAACTGATTATCGGCTCGTCGGATGACCCGATCTTCCTCGATTTTTGTACAATCCATGTGTATCCACCCTCAGCACTGGGTACAAACTCAGCTCCATAGGAAATGTCCCAGCCTACCACTCTCACCTCCCAAACCAATTGGCACGCCTGCCAATCCAAAGAATTTTCGAAAATCCGCATTCAAAAATGAAAATGGATGGTTACTAATAATAGGATTACTCATGCAGGGAAGCTTGTATGAACAAGTGAACATCAATATTCTAGTTTCTGTTGATTCGATCATAAAGACCAGAATATTAACATCAAAAACGCGTTGATTCACAAAGGATATTGAGAATTTGGCAAGACTCGATGATTTTTTAAGTTCAGTGATGGCTCACAGTGGTCCTATTTATTATACAATACAATCAAAATACACAAAAGGAAAATCTGAAAATTACCATAACAAAAATCCTAGTGCAAGATGGAAATATAAACATTACCACACTAATACTAAAATAATCCCTAAACCTCAAAAAGATAATAAAAATGTGAGTTTGACTCCATAGAGATGGGATTTGCACAAAAACCACAAGAGCTCAAAGGCCTTGCCCACAAGTGTTTATCTTAAGATAGTGATTACTTGGAAAAAAGGGATCACTTGCCAAATCCAACTTTGTTAATCACAATCTGGACTATTAACCAAGAGCTTAAAGGCCTTGCCCACAAGTTTTTATCATAAGATAGTGTTTACTTGGAAAAATGGATCATTTTCCAATCACAACTCTGTTAATTACAATCACAACTGTTAACCAAGACTCTCGTCTATGATATGATTTTGACCTCACGATTGTCTCCACATACCATATATATCTACTTTTTGCGGGTTGAAATAAGCACTAATTTCGTAGACTTGCTCACCTCAAGAATTGGCAGTTCAATAGTGTGCTTGGATGCTGGCTTGATAAATTCCTCACTTGCAGGATCAGCAGTTGTGAATTCCTGTTCACCCTCCCTGCTGAGGCCTCCATATTGAACTGGCACTTGCTCAGGTGCTATGTATCTGATGATTTCACAGTCCAAAAATAGATGTGTTAAAATCACAGACTTTTACAAAAGAGTAAATAAGTGATTATTTATCAAATGAAAAAAGTATCAAAGGACTAACTTGAAGAGGGTTTCAGCAGTCTTAGTAGGGCCTGCAAATACAAACTTGCTTTTGGTCCTCTCAGTGAAGAATGGACTGATCATCCTGTTGTAAGCCACATACCACCATGGAACATTGACGAACACCTATTTCACCACCAACACACAAATCAAACTGTTAAAGAAGATAAATATTTATTCATCTAAATTTACTCTGCACCACAGCCTTCATGTACAACTTTTTAGTTGACACGTAAATGATTTTCATAGATGCATGGTGGCAAGACAAGAAAGAAATGGTTTGTGGGTGTAAACTTTATACCTGTTTGGCAACAAATTCAGGATAATTGTCCTGGAGCAACTGGAGGGCCTGGTTGGTGGCCTGACGGAGTTCTTTCTTTAAAAGGAAAAGTCCAGGGGAATTCTTCAGATCATTCACTTGGACAATTGTGCAAACACCTTCTGGGCTAAAATCAAGCTTCCTTATACTTTTCTCCAAAAATTGAATCCTCCATCTTAAAAACTTGGCTCGTTTCTCAGCATCAGCAAAAGTGTTGTTGTACAAATCCTTGTCCTGGAATTCTCCGTATGCATTATAACAAACGGGGTGTCCTTCTTTATCCACTCCATGCATATACACAACCTTTTCAAGCCCCTCTCCGACGTTTTCTTCTTCCAAGAGTTCATCAATCTTGAATTCTTTTCTCCAGGCTACAACACTTTTCAGCATCGAGAAGGCTTCTTTGACCTTGAAATCCCTGGCTCTGAGGAATTTGAGGAGAATTGCATCGCTTCTTTCGTCGGCCAAAAGTGGGATTCCCCAGATGGAAACCTCCTCCGGTGGTGGTGGTGGTGCCGTTTCTTCGACTGCTTCCTCCTCCTTTGGCTTCTCCTCCTCCGTCGGGGCAGGGGGGCACTCCTCTGCCGGCGGCGGTGGAACTTCATGAACTATAGTTTCTTTTATTTCTTCAACAGCAGCTTCAACTTTTTCTTCAATTTTTTCAACAACAGATTCTGATGGTTCTGCCGCCGCAGCCGGTGGAGTGGGTTTCTCTTCCTCCTCTTTCTCCACCGGGGCTGCTGGTTTTGGCGGCGGCGGAACTTCAGAAGGAGCCTCACATGATTCTTTTTTCTCCTCAGGTTTTGATTCTTCTTCTTCCTTTTTCTCTTCAGGTTTTGGTTCTTCTTCTTCCTTCTTCTCTTCAGCTTTTGGTTCTTCAGGTTTCTTTTCTTCCTCCTTGGCCGCAGGGGGCGGAGGCGGAGCAGTGAATTCATGCTTTTTAAGTGCTTCTTGAATCAACAATTTGAATTCATCCAACGCCTTCTTTTGTGGGTCAATCAGATCATCGACCTTGTTGCTTTCCTCTTTAAACGAAGCCGATTCAGTTATTTTGTTCTTTTCAACAGCACCACCTTCAACCGCCTCTTCCGCCGCCGGCTTCTCAGCCTTTTCTACCTCACACTCCGCCTCCGGTTGTGGTGGCGCCTCCTTCTCTGTGGGTTTCTCAGGCACCGGCACATCAGTTACCACAACCTCTTCACTTGCAGGCACAGCAACAGATTTCTTGGTTTCTTCAGCCATGATTATACAATTCGAGAATATAAACAAGAAATTATAGGATTTATGATAATTGATTCAACCAGAGAGTGGGGATTAATATAATATAGGGAGTGGGCTACAAGAACAAGGGATTGACGGATTGTGGATGTAACAGTCTGTATTGCCAGCTAGTTTGCAATGGGGTCCACGACCACCTATTCAAACTGATAGAAATGTTATGTATATCTTAATTGTCCAGAATCTTCTCCTACTAATGTATAGAAACTATGCATGCATCCATTGTATGTATTTTGTTTTCTTTAACGGCCGAGTTTTTACATTCTATGGTTGGCTAAACTTATAAGTAAATAAAAAGTTACTTTAAATAACTTATTTTTACCTTTTCTTCAACATATTGTAAAGTGACGTTTATGATGATGTTATCCATATTGAATTTTGTTTTCAGATTCATTGCTTCTGGTGCTTAATGAAGTATTTTGTAAGGAAGAAAAAGCTAATTTTTTTTCTTTATTCTCGGAGTTGAAATGTTGTATTTTTTTTTTCCTTTTTCTACGAATTCAAAGATTAATCTAAGGGTCCTTTTGATTGTAAAAATTACCTAAAAATTGTTTTACTGGAAATTGTAATTAATTGTGTTTGATTGGTATAATTTTTCAATTGGAAAATGTTGAAAGTTTGGTGTCCGTTTGATTTTATTTTTTATAGGAAAAGTGAAAAAAAATTTACCTTTGTTTTTAGAATTTTTTCCAATTGCAAAAAAAAAAAAAAAAAACTGGAAATTTATTTACCACAACAAAGGCAAGAAAATCAATTCAACAATTAGGTGGAAAATGGGCGCGTGAGGCTTCAACCAAGAAAACCAATTTCCTAAAAAATAACACCTATCAAATACCACATTTGTTGGAAAAAAGAAAAAAATTTCCAACTTCCCTAGAAAATAATGGTTATCAAACAGGCCCTAAAGAAGATATCTATAGTTAAGCCTTTGAATTAAAATCTCAAATTAAAATCAACTATTAATTTTAACCATACGTTTTATTAATTTTTATCAAAATTTACTTAAAATTTTGATTTTAATCTCTAAGAAACAAGAGCTAACTTTGTATGATTAAGTCAATAATTTTTACTAGGATCCAATAGTCTTGGTATCGTAATCATTACAGGATTGAAATTTGGGTGATGAGATTAGGTGTGGAATTTAAAAACTATGGGCACACACCATTTTTTGAGTACTTTTCAAGGATTCAATATACTAATTCCTATAAACGTCCATTTATTATATTGTAACAAATTTCGTCAAAAAAAAAAGAATTTCCAACGTAGTATGTGGGACCAATCGGCCTTCACATTTCATGAGGTAAAGCAATCCAAATCCGTTAGGTAATCTTTATTTGCTGTCTTTCCAATTTCTGAAAATTTAAATTTAAAATTCCCTTTCCAACAGATTTTAAGCGTGAAGGCCCCAACTTGTCTCTATCCGTTGGGGAAAAGCTTTTTTATTTTCATCATTTCATGATTTTTGGTCAGAAACATTTTTGGGGTGATAAATAAAAATTTAAAATAGCTAATTCTGATAAATTACAAATTGGTCATAAACGGTTTTATTGAAGGCCCTACATCAAAATTATTGTTCAAGAGTATCAAATATAGGGGTGACGATTTTTTCTCTTTCTCATAATCACCTGAATCGGGAGCTAATATTACATAGAAAGTAAACGAAACTCCAATCCAAGAAGAAACCAACGAGGGTTACAAGTTGATGGCAACCGACCGATTACATTGAAGGGTTGATCGACCATACGAAGATATCTGAAATGATGGAGCGTATTTTTTAAGGCTCTCAGACACAGGGGTGGAGCCAGCCTTTCAAACTAGGGGGGTCCCGGAGGTGAAGCCCTCGAAATTTTTTTTGAAACTTTATCTGTTAAAATGAGGAAAGTCGGTACTTTGTGATGGAGAAATGAAACAAATGAACATAAATTAATGTACGAACACTTCACAAAAAAAATCAAGAAACATATAAATTATCCGAAGTTACATACTCGAATTTGAGCTCAAGCTTACGTAGATCGGATCTTCCTCAATAGTCTTGAACTCATCAAGCTTGCACTCAAACAATAAGACGCCATATAAACTCAATAAAACCGCAAA